ATTGACAAGAAAAGAGCTTTATTATTTAAAAAAAAACATTAAAAAGAGACAAAAATATTATATAAAATAGGTCTTGTTGAAATCAGTGCTTTACCGGTAGTTCATAAGGAAAAATATAACGTCCTCTGTTTACTTTGGATGGTTTCACAATTGAAATAACGTCTGTTAACTGAATGTCCATTTCGTCATCAACATTTGGAAATATATAGTGATTTCCTTTTGATTTAGCTTCTTCTGAAAAACTTTACTGTAACTTCGTTCTTCTCAAAACAAGTTCTAAGAATGACTCCATAGAACTGTTTGGTGGTTTCTTTTTTTGTGTTCTTATCAAAGATGAGCTCAACAATGACGTAAATATCAGGTTTAAGTTCTCCTTTAGAGACTCCTATTTTGGGGGGTTTGTCATAAGTTGTTTCTTCTAGTTGTAGATCTACTGGTATCTCTGATACCAGTATGATATAATGTTTCTGTATCCATATCTGAATTAGAGTCTCTCAAAGAATACTGGTCATCACTATCATCAAATGAGTTGGAATTCACAAGTTTCTTATTATGTTTCAAAGTCTTTAGTTTGCTGTGGTTTTCCTTTGTTTTGGTATTGGGTGTATTGGACCTATTTGATTGAGGATTATCATAATTGATCAGAATTGTGTCTTCAATCCCTTCAATCCCCTTTCCTGCTGGGACATTAAGTTTCCTTTTCTTCCGCTGTTTAAGAGGTTCGGTCTCTCTCTTCCTACTTTCTCCAAAAAAGGCTTTGATAGAATCAGTCCAGTTGTTGCTTGAATTAAGCTCTTCAGATACTGCAGTGGCATCACCATCAGGAAGCCTTTTCAGAATTTCATTTTGGTCTAAAGGTACAATACCAGCTGCCTTAAATCCACTATTTAAGTTTTTGCTTATGTTTTCCTCTCCCAAAGCGTTAAGGCACTTTTTCAGATGTCTTGGAAACCTGTCTTTTGGAAAAGAGCCACGATTAGCCTCTTTCCACTCTGTCAAAAGCCACCTTTATGATGTGGCTTTAGTTACCCCATGTTGTGTATCACTGAAAAAAAAAACATCACAACAAAAGAAAGAATCAGGTTATAGGTTATAACCTTTAAAGGTGAGATGAAACATAAATTGAGGTTATGTTTGTTGAGAGTTATGAGAATTTAAGATTAAAAATGATTTGTTCAGAGCAGAAGTTATGCAAGGTAACTTTTTTATCGATTTTTTAGGTTAAATATATAGTTTTACTGTACACTTACCGTGATATTGTTTTAATAAGACAAGTATTTGGAAAGCAGTCCAAGTTCCTATTAGAAGAACACAATATCAGCTGTTGAATCCAAACAGTGCTGCCACTATCACCATCCAAAAATTACCTGCTATAATGGCTTTAGTTTCCCCGTAGGCTTTAGTTACCCCCATCTACGGTAAGCTATATAAATACTTTTTTTTTTATTATTATTATTTTTTTACAGTTTTGTAATTCAAGCTTCTAAATGAAAACGACTTTAAAGCCTCTGAAAGCTTCAATCTTTTTTGTCATTAAGTTTTGGAAGCTTTGACCTTTTTTACATCAAACTTCTCAGAACAAAACACCTCCTAGTGGGATTAGGCTTGGATCTTAGAAACCTTGTCAAAACAGATTATGTTGTGGTCTTTATTGAGACAATTTAATTAAAGAGTTTTTAATTTCTCGTTCCTGCATTCTAAAGCTTCCAAATAAAACATTCCAATCGGCAGGTTATTTGAATTTGTCACATAATGACTGTTAATAACTTTTTTGTGCATAGAGAAAACTTGTAATACCGGTGGTTATGCTTTTAAAAAAAAGCTTGGAAGTGATTTAACACAAAAACTTGAATAGATTAAGTTTAATCTTCTTTTCAGAAGTCAGAACGCGAAGCTATTTCCTCTATGCCTAGTACTACAATATATTTTTAATAATCTTAGTAATTGATTTAAGCAAAGAAATAATTATGCACATCCCCGCAGCGACTCTTAATGATTTTTTTTTAATTGATTTCACAAATTCTTGGAAACTTTGAAAAATCAGGCCCGAGGGTCCTCTACAGTCAAGAAGACTGCTATTTTTTTAATAAACTATTAAAAAACAAAAACAAAAAAAAAACACTTATAACAAGGAAATTAATAAGCCGATTAGACCTATGACAAAAAGACCTATGGTTGATCTTAGCACTGTGTTCCCTAAACCAAGCTTACTGAAAGACCGTTCTCCTTAGGCGATGTAAACAGGAATTGTGGTTTCGTTCATGTAGTTCTCATTTAACAGTTTTATCAAAGTAACAACGGCTTCATAGCCTCAAAGCATGTACTCCATCAAGTTTGCATAACATAATGAAGAGACATACTATTTGTTTCGGTAAAGATTTTCTTTCAAATAGGACTTCCAATAAAAATGAAGTAAAGTAACTTAACCCGAAAAAAATAGCTCTTTGCTTAAATAGAAGATTCATCGGAATGAACACCAGCAAAGTTAAAATTATAAGCTTGAGGATTCTTTATAAGTATGATGGCTTGATCTCTTTTATACACACTAGACACGTTTGCTCCGTTGTCGTACTTTGATCTCGGTAGTTTTTTAAATTGGTATAATTTTGATCCAAGACATCAGTAAATGTTCGCAGCTTTCATTTTTTCGAATTTTTTTGATTCTGAGAAAACGCTCTTTAACTACACACCTTTTATAAACACCATAGTTGATAAGCTGAAAAAGAAAGGTAATTTTCTCAGTATGAGAGATATCATGAGGTCCATCAACGAGAATGGAATAGTAAATGGTTCTTTAATGATGGTACCGTGGACGAATACTCCACACTCTTTGATTAACTCATTTTAACTCCAACCAATATAATGGGCCGTATTTTTTCAACATCTTGTTGGAAGCGGGAAGTTTGTTCTTAGTTGTAACTAATTAGTCTTGCTGTGCTTTTCAAGTAACTCTAGCTTAGCAAGAAATCTGTCGTTATCATGATCATTAATCTGTTTTGATAAGCATGACACAAGGATTATAATTACACATATAATTCACAATTTTTTTGTAAGTTGTAATATATAAACAAAAATGTAAATACAAGTATAATAGCTAACATTCAGAAATGCACCTCTTAGTGGATACTGAACCTAAAAAAGAAGTCTTTTAAATGTTCAAAAGACGTCCTTAACGTTTAAAAGACGTTCAAAAGATGTCTTTGTTACGTCCCGCGCGCACTGTGCTCTAAAGCTAAGATTGCGTGATGCTAAAAAGGGAGTTACACTTAATCTACACTGCAGAAGTTCACGCCACCAGGCTGCCTCATCTCTTATTGACTTTTCAAGATTTGATTTAATCCCACACCAAGTTGCCAAAATTTCTAACGCTGTTTTCCGCTTCCATTTTGATTTAAGTAACATCTTATTGTACAGGTTTTGTAGAAAAAAAAAGTATTTTGAGAAGATCTTGTTATAACTACTCAATTGCGTTCTACTCAATACAAATTTTTAGTCCGCAAAGCATGATTATTGGTGGTAAATAACTCATCCATTGGCATTTTCTAATATTTCAAATAAAGAGATAAAATATTAAAAACCCATATTTTTTTTCACAACTTGATAACAATTAATAAAACCAATATTTTGTTTTTATTTTCAACTTTTGTATAACAAAATCTTCAAGCGCATGTTATTTATTGTTCTTTTGCTGTAACTTATTTGCACCGTTTTTTCTGCACTGAGAGCCAGGTTCTTTTTTCTTGAAACTCAACATTTTGTTTTAAATGTAGCCAAGAAACCTTAACCAATTAATAACATTTTTAATACTCTTTTATAAAAAAGAGAGCTCATCCTAATATAGAATGGACAGATGATGGTCCAATAATTCATTCAAATGGAAACTTAATTGAACATGAATTTATTAAAGTTTTAAATGATTGTTCTCTATACCAAATCGTAAATTTTCCAAAATTCAAACAAAATGACTCTGTTTCAGCAGTTAACACCCTTGATCTTGTTTTAGTTTGCAATCCAAATTGCATTGATTTTCTTCAATGTGGTCCACAGTTAGGCCACTATGAAAAGAGAAGATACCATTACTCCATCACTTGGCAATATTTTACTAGTCTTAGTAACAATACAGTACTCACAAAAGATAAGTTTTGCTTTAAAAAAGGTAATTTTTTTTTCAAATGAATAAATACTTGAAACAAGTTAACTGGGTTGAGCATTTTTATAACAAATCAACCTGTGAGTGTTATAAGTTATTTTTGCATACATATAATGAATCTTGTCGATTGTTTGTTCCTATTCTGAATAATAAAAAAAAGAATAGTCAACCCTAGTTGGATGCAAAAGTTAAAAAAGCAATAGAGATTAAACATTCTATGTTTTATTCAAATTTGCATCGGCAAAGTCAAGAATCTTGAAAGGCTTTTAACTAAATGTGTGCTAATGTTAAAAAGCAAATCAAAAGATCAACTCGAGAATACGAAATGGATTTAGTAAAGAGAGCAAAGGTTGCATCAAAACTTTTATTCTCATACGTAAACAGAAGACAAAACATTAAAACGCAAATTAGAGCAATCAAGAACAAAAAAGATCAAGTTACAACTAAGATATCAGACATTTCAGATATATTAAATAGGCAATATCAGTCAGTCTTTGTTAATGATAATGACCAACTAATATCCGAATTCTTGCAAAGATGCAAAAACCAGTGCGATTGCAGTAAATTATCTAACATGATTACCTATAAAAAAATTCTCAAAATGTTAGAAGGTATAGATAAATTAAAAGCGATAGGTTTTGATGAAATTAGTCCGTTTGTTTTAAAGCATGCTGCAGAAGGTTTCGTGGACCCACTTATTCATAATTTCAAATTAAGCTTTGACACTTGATGTGTCACTTACCACTGGTCTGTTACAAATATATCACCAATTTACAACGGGGGATCAAAACTTGAACCAGAAAACTACATACCAGTATCCCTAACATCTGTGATTTGTAAAATGTTCGAAATGCTCATTCGGGACACAATTCTGCAACATTTAGTTTCAAATAGACTTATATTTGAGGAGCAAACTGGTTTTGTTCCAAACAAATCATGCACAACAAATCTTATTGAGACAATTGACACAATTACATTTGAAACTGCAAAAGGTAAACCGTTTCGCGTCATATATCTTGACTTCGCAAAGGCTTTTGATAAAGTAGAACACAAAAGATTGTTGACAAAGATTAGAGCGTATGGTATAACTGGCAAAATATACAACTGGAATGAAGTTTTCTTGCAAATAGGAAACAAAGAGTTGCTATTAGTAATACAGTTTCAGAATGGGTATCAATTACCAGTGGCGTGCCTCAGGGTTCCGTTTTGGGTTCAATGTTGTTTCTGCTATTCATAAATGACCTCCCAGAAGTTGTGCTAAACACATTTAAAATGTATGCTGATGATAGCAAAATAATAGCCATAGAAGATTCCATTGATAAACAAGCGGAAATACAACTTTCCATTGATAAACAAGCGGAAACCGACCATGACAACATTGTGAAATGGTGCAACAATTGGGGTATGGAACTAAACTGCAAAAAATGTAAGGTGATGAGATTCGGCAATCAGAAAGTTTTTCGAGGTATTGATAAAACATACACAAGAAATATAAATGAAATGATTTATGACCTCTCAAACAGTGTATTAGAAAGAAATCTAGGTGTCTTTGTACAACCGGATATGAGCATCAAACGCAAGTATGTGTTAATAAAGCTTCAAAAATACTGGGGTTATTAAAAAATGTCTTTAAAAGTAGAGATTGTTATATGTGGAAAATTTTGCATACCACTTATGTTCGAATCCATTTCTTCACAAACAGAGATTGCCAAATTTGGAACAAACTTCCGGAAAAAGTTGTTGATTCCAAGAATTTGAATAGTTTTAAAGCAAGTTTAGACGAATGGCTAAAGAAAAATAAGAAAATATTAATTTAAAAGAAAAAGAAAAAAAAAAGTACTGGGCTGCTATAGCTGAACGTTACAACGTCTCAGCTTGTGGATCCACGCAGTTTACCACTAACTAACTAACTATATATATAAATATATATACATATATATATATATATATATATATATATATATATATATATATATATATAATTATTTTTTTTTTATTATTTTACATTTGTTGGTCGTATTACAACTATATATTGCCAAAATAAATAAATAATAATGATAATAATAATAAACTTTCACAAATATAAAATAAGCTATCTGAAAGAAGATCAAAGGATCTTGTCGTCAGAACCTTAAATAAGTTCAAACAAGCATTAACAGTATCAAATTTTTACAAATTTCATATATATATAGTCCAAATATATATTATATAATCCAAAGAGAGATCACGCGGATCTACTCACCAAAATTTTATATAAACGTATACGTTAAGTTAAGAATATAAAATCAACAAAATAAGTAAGAATAAAATTTTTACAAATATAAATAAGAAAAGGCAAAGTTATTAATTATATTATTAATAATAACATAATACGTCTTCTAATGAAAAAATTAGGGTTTTTAATTTACTTTTTAAAAAACAAAAAGTAATGGGTAGTTCGAAATCAAAATTGGGCAAAACAATTTTGTTCCAAAGGTGTGGTGCCCGATAGGCAATACAAAATTGATTAAAGTTGGTTTGACAGACAGGTTCATTTAAAAAATCAGTATTGCTCAAATTGTATGTGTTGATGGGTTTTGGAGTAAAAATATCTTTGAAGACAGATTGAGACAAGTCATTTTTCCACATGTATACAAAGCATAAAACAATATATATATATAGCTCGTATATATTTAAAATTCTCATTTCAATAAAATAACGTTTTGCGTGAGAAAAGCGATTTGCAAAGCAGATTAAACGGATAGCATGTTTCTGACGGCGATAAAGACATTGCAACTTACTTTTTTCTGTACTACCCCAGGCGATATTAGCATAATTTAAATAACTGTGTATAAATGAATAATAAAGTTTGATTAAAATTTTCTTATTGAGGTAGATTCGTTCTTTATATAAAACTCCTATGTTTTTTGAAATTTTAGTGCTTATGTAGTCGATATGATGATTCCAAGTGATGTTTTCATCAAGATAATCACCTAAAAATTTTGTTACGGAATCCCTTTTTATTTCATTTTGATCAATAAAAATTTTAGGTAAGTTTAATGGCAAATACCGTTTTTTGGAAAACGAATGGAATAAGGTCCACTTTGTTTTATTAGAATTTAGAGTTAACTTATTACATTTAAACCAACTCGATACATGTATAAGCTCTTTGTTTATTGTTTTAAAAAGTTCAAAGATATCACTGTTAGAAAGAAATAATTTAGTATCATCTGCAAACATAATACTTGTTATTTTAGAGGCTTTATTTAAATCATTAATTAAATTAGAAAATTTAAATCATTTAATATAAATTAGAATTATTTAAACCATTAATATAAATTAGAAAAAAGAGTGGACCTAGAGTTGAGCCTTGTGGGACTCCACATGTTATGATAACCGTCATTACTCAAAACAAATTGTTTACGATTTGACAAATAGCTTTCAAACCATTTTAAAACTTTATTTTTAATTCCACAGTTTGTAAGTTTATAGATTAGAATTTGGTGATCAACCGTATCAAGCTTTTGATAGATCAATAAAAAGTCCTAGAGTATATTGTGAATTTTCAAATGATTTTGAGATTTCACGTACAAATTGGATAATTGCATTTTCAGTTGAGCTATCCTTTTTAAAACCGAATTGATTAATGTTAAGTAATTTATTAACATAAAAATATTTGTATACTCTGTTATATATAATTCTTTCTAAAATTTTTGAAATTGTGGAAAGAACAGAAATAGGGCGATAGTTAATAATAATTGATTTATTCCCTTCTTTAAAAATAGGAATAATTTTGGCAATTTTTAACAGTTCGGGGAAAACACCTTGATGGATAGAAGCTTTAAAAACTTTAAAAAGAACAACTTTTAGCTGTTCAAAACAATCTATAATAACGTTTCCATTTATTTTATCTGCTCCAATTGCTTTATTTTTTTTTAAGGAATATATATATATATATATATATATATATATATATATATATATATATATATATATATATATATATATATATATATATATATATATATATATATATACATATATATATATATATATATATATATATATATATATATATTTATATATATATATATATATATATATATATATATATACATTTATTAAATATATTATATATATTATAATATGTCTGTAATCAGGAAAATAAAATTTCATTTGCCGTTAAAAAGAACATTTGTTTTTAAACTTAGTTGACTCTTTTCAACTTAATTAAAATAAAATCAACTAATTTTTTTGACAAGTTTTTATTAACATGGTTGCATCAAAATAAAGTAAAGTTTACAAAAAAAGTTGTAAAACAAAAACTATGAAAAAATCAAAATTTTAAAATACGTTTTAATAGGAAATATTTTATTTTAAGCAAAGATATAATCTGTTTAAAAAAAAAAAAATTGATTAAATTAAACTTTTTTTTTCGTTTATAAGTTTTTAAGTACATTGAAAGATGTATTCTCTTGAGTAACAATAATTAATTTCTGTTTTACAAATAATCATGTTTTCAAAGAACTTCGAACAAAATGTTTAAAGATTTATATTTTGTAAACTTATAAAGTTGTTATAGTATTTATATTATAAACTTTGTTTTAGACCATTTTTTTTAAACTAGTATAGTTATATATATTTTTTAACTTTTATTTATAGATTTTTTAAAAATAACGCTTTGCATTTGAAAAACCTGAATTATTAAATAGATAAATAATAACACCGTATAATGAAATAATAAAATGATTATTCATAATAGTAACTACATGTTTAATGTTAGGTGTTCAACGCGACAAACTTCTTCACGAAATTCATTGTCATTTTTCACAAGATATACTAAAGTCGGCTTTAGTACTATATGGAATGTCAGGTGTTGGAAAGACAAAAATTGCCAAAAAATACTGTGAAATTTATTCTGACTTTTATAAAAACATTGTCTGGATAGACGCAGCATTTGGAAAATTACAAACTTCTATAAGAAATCGTTGTCAATCGTTAGGATTTCTTGTTCATGATTCGGTAGGTGAATATTTTAACATGGAAGTAATTGTTGATAAAATTCACAACTATTACATAAATGAAAAAACTTTGTATATTTTTGACAATGTCGACGATGAAAGTGTTAAAGGTTTGAAAATGTTCATTTCAAGAAAAGCGAACTCGTATACTTTAATTACCTCGCAATGGAGAACTTGGTCAAACAATGTAAATAAAATCTTTGTTGATGTTTTTTCTTCTGAAGATGCATTCGCTTATGTTAAAAATAATATTAAAGAATACACCGATGAAAATATAAAAAGCTTAATCAAAGAACTTGGTTATCATCCGTTTGCTATAACGCAGGCAATAAAATATATAAATATACATAAAATTTCGATAGAAAAATATATTGATCGATATAGAAAGAAACCCCTAGAAATATTAGACACTGATAACTTTCCTACTGAAGAAGAATCAAAGTCTGCAATAAAAGCAATCAATTTAGTTTTATTCAAATTAAAAAAAACTAAACTTATTCCATTAGAAATACTAAACTGTTTATCTCATTGCGATGGTCAAAATATAAGTAAAGAATTTATAATCCAAATCTTAAATCAAATGGAAATAAAAGAAGAACATATAATAGATGAAACTCTTGGATTACTAACAAGTTATTCGTTGATAAATTGTTTCGATGATAACAAATATTCAATGCACGAACTGACTCAGTTGACGAGCAAATATTTTCAAAGTAAAAATTCAAGTTCAAATACTTATCTTGATCTAATAGTAAATTATTTTAAATTTGAGTTGAACCAAGTGAAGGATCACATAGAATTCGGAAATTATTTCGTTTTTCATTTCCTCTATGTGTTTCGGATTAACGAAAAAACAATGTCAAAAACCTTCCATAATATGACAACTTCTATTAAAGAGTTATTAGTATGTAAAGGTTTATTTGATGAAGCAATCGAAATATTAAAAGCTATTCAAAGTTTTAACACAGAAACTTATGGTGAAAATAATAAACACACGCTTGATACGAAACATAATATCGCAAGCTGTTTGAAGAGTATGGGAAAATATAACGAAGCTTTAGAAATTTATTATTCTGTTGAGAAAATACAAACTGAAATTTTAGGTATCAACCATCCAGATACAATAAGAACAAAACATAGTATCGCAAACTGTTTGGACCATATGGGAAAATATAACGAAGCTTTAGAAATTTTTTATTCTGTTGAGAAAATACGAACTGAAATTTTAGGTATCAAC